GGCCTTCGATGTCCGTGTCGACGGTACGTACGCCACCGCCCTCTCCTCCGACACCCTCCAGGACGAGCTCCAGCGGAAGCTCGGCCTTTGGCTCTCCGCGGCGCTTCCCACCCTTCGGGTCGCGCTCGAGCGGGGCATGCCAGTCGATTTCTTCGGCGACTACCTTTACAACAAGGCCCACCACCGGCGGCCCCACGACGGCGTCCTCGCCGCCTGGGCGGACGCGATGCGCGCCCCGGCCAACGCGCCGGTCGTGCACGGCGACAAGGAGAAACCAGAGCTCACCCGGCAGTACAATGAGGGGTACAAGACTGACCTCGCAGAACAAGACTGACCTCGCAGGAGGATGCGATGAAGTAAATGAGATCAAGCTCTGGACGCCCCTCCTCAAGACCTCCTCGACGGGCGTTGGCAACGCCTCGAGTGGCGGCACGCCCGCCTCCGTCGGCCACTCCTACGCCTTCGGCAACACCGAAGAGAAGGCCCGCCGCCTGAACATGGGCTGCAAGGCGCGCGGGCAGCCCAGCCAACCCTTCTCCCACAAGACCGGCCACGGCTACGTCAAGGCGCATCGCGGTTTCTACCACGACGCGATTTTTGTCAAGCGCAACAACTTCAACCTGCTGCTCCACGAGACGTTCGGCGGCGGTTTCTCGCCCACCGCCGTTCTCAAGCTGCGCCGCCTCGCGCGCAAAGTTGCGCGCGGCAGCGTTGACCGCACGGCCTACTCGCCCAAGTACTCGCTCTCTTTTATGTCCCACCATGCAGAGCGCATCTCTCCCTCTGTTGTGCGAGGCGTGAACCGCGCCATTCGCTCTCACCTGGCAACCCTGTCTGCACGTCTCGCGCGCGCGTGAACAGGGCTCCAGGCCCCAAATTACGTGTGAGTGTTAGAGTTGTTTGGTATTGCTAAAAATCTCTCTCTCTGAACAGCACTCCCTTTGAAGAGCCGAGCAGTGCTACTTTCCTGCTGACGAGCAGTGCATGGTTTGTGAGGACGGAGGACGCCTCGTCGGCAGACTTCTTCAGGGACGTCGGAAAAGAATTTTACAACACAGGCGGTCGCAAAGAATTTGACAACCACGGAAAAGAAGTTTGCCTTGTCACCGAAAGAAATGAGCCTTTGTGTGTAGGTTTGTTGTTGGCAAATCAAGACACAGAGCTCACACAGAATCACAGCGGGAGGAAAGCGGCGAGTCGCAATTCCAGGGGTCGTTGCGGAAAAGAAGGAATCGACAAATCCACATGGTTACAGATGCGACGTGTGCTATCGAAGGAGTACTCGAGTACGAGACCAGATACGACGGGCTCACACGTGATACGATTTAGGCAACCCCTGACTGATGATCAAGATAGTGTCGGTATGGCCTTGCAATGGGCCCCTCCGTACTCACACGCGGCTCGCACGCGTAGGGTAGGGGTAAGAGGGTGTGAGAGTCCTTCTTGCGGCATACGCGAACCGTAGAGAGAAGAGGGTAGGACTCTGACCTGTTCCGACCTTGATCAGACCATACGTGAGTACAGACCTGTTCAGACCGTCATCACTTTGATTACGGTCGGATCAAGGTCCGATCACGGTCGGAACAGATGGGGCCCGTGGTGACGGCCCTATTTCCGGACCTTGATCCTTTCGTGATCAGGCCATGTTCCGACCATGCTCGAACCTATGTTCCTTCCGTGATCGGACCATGTTCGAAGAAGCGGCCCCGGCCCAGGCCCCGGTCGCCCCGGCCGCAACGGAGACAACACTCGACGGCGAAGACGACGATGCCTCCGGCCCGTCCATACTCCTCCGTGCCGCGGCCGAGATGATTGTAGACGAGGCGGAACGCCACCGCCACATTGACGCAGCCGAGGCGCTGCTCGGGCTAATTCCAACTGTGGACCTGGAGACCAGCGTCATGGGCGTTGGCGGCGAAGGAGAGGAGCCTGCCAATGAGGTCTGCACCGCCGCTTCGACGAGGCTGGCAAACGTGGTGGTGCCAGGCTTGACGTCCACGCTGGTGGTGCGCGAGAAGGTTTCGATCTCCTTGCCAGCTGCCTTCGTGAGGTTTTGGTTCTGCAGCCGCGCAACCGAGCGGCCCGAAATCGTGACGAGGATCATGTCGGTGGAAATTTCGAGCGTCTCCACCACCGGCGGCTCTCCTGCCTGAGGCGGCTCGGCCGCCGCCGTCGTCTCGGCCGGCTTGTCTCTTCCCTCCTCAGCCGCCTCCGCATCCGGCGAATGCCCTGGTGATGGCGACGTGTCCGCCTCCAGCGCATTCTCCGGCCGCGCCGCCGACTCCGGAGCCGCGGCCTCCGCCGCCTCCTCCGCCTCCTCCTCAACCACCTCGGTCGCCGCCGCAGGCGCCTCGGCCGCCGCCTCCGCCTCGGCCGCCGCCTCCGCCTCGGCCGCCGCCGCCTCGGCCGCCGCCTCCGCGCCCAGCGGCAGCTCGTCGCCGCCGGCAGCGTCCATGCCGAGAGGCGTGGCGGCGGTCAGAGTTGTGGCCGCAGACGAGACGTCAGGGGACGCACGCGGAAGCCAGCGACGTGATGACTGTGAATCGGCGGCGCCGGGCCGTGAACACTCCGACACACCCCGACCTGACGGTCTGAACAGGTCTGTACTCATCAGCTTCGGTCTGATCAAGGTCGGAACAGGTCAGAGTCCTACCCTCTTAGAGAGAGCGAGAGACCCCCAGCCAAGCCGCCGCGAGACCTCGCCTGACAACCCCCTGCGTGCACATGCAGAGCCTCGACTTCTTCCCAAAGACCCAGCCGGGGCTGACGGAGCGCACCTTGAGCGGTGGCGTCATCTCGGCCGCCTCGCTGCTCTTCGTCCTCTGGGCCGGTGCCTCTGAGCTCTCCGACTGCTGGCGCGTCGTCACCGACGAGAGGCTCGTGCCACAGGCGGACACCGCCCACCAGATGGCAATTCCATCCGCTGTGCTTTCGCGGCCACCACCCCCGCGGCCCACCGCCACCGGCGCACCAGGCCCTGACGGCCAGCGCCGAGCCTCCCAGCGCCGAGCCTCCCAGACCGGACCTCCCATAGCCAGAGCCGAGCCCCCCCCGCCGCCGCCCTGCGCCGCTGCGGCAGGCGACGTCCGAGCACTCCAACACGCTGTCGATCAACCTGGACGTGGTCTTCCCGTCGACGCCGTGCTCCGAGGTTGTCGTCGAACTCACCGACGAGACTGGACGCGAGCAGCTCCGGCCCACCGACTCGCTCTCCAAGCTGCGCATGTCTGCTGGAGGCGCCGCCCGGCGCCGCGGGGAGGAAGCAGCTCGGCGGCACGTCCGAATCTCGCGCCCGCGCCTCCTCAGGCAGCCCAGTCGGCCTCCCCGAGGAGCTCGGCTTTGAGGCTCGCGCGGCGCTCGGCGTGCGGATGCGACGCTTCATGTGCGCGCAACGCAGCCGAGACGGCTAGCATCACACTCCTTCCCTGCACACCCCTGTGTGGTCGCGGCCTGTGCCGTTCTCCCATGCGCGCGCGGCTGGCTCGCGCTGCCCGTGCCACGCCCCGCGGGACGTCCCGAGCACGACGCACAGGCACATGCTGCACGATTGCATCGTCGCCCTCCTCTCCTTCTCCGCCACCTCGGGCTGTGCGCGCGACTACACGGCACTCTCTGCCCCGCATCCCTCTACCCCACGCCCCTCACTCTTCCACGGCCATGCCACCGCCACCGCCACCGCCACCGCCACCGCTACGGAGTCGGGACGGCCTGTGGGCCCTGGCCGTCACGCCCTCTCGCCACCCCAATGCAACGCCTTCTCGTCCATCACAGTGTCTGCCCACACCGCCCTGCTACCGCTCAGCCCGCCCGGCGGTGGCGGGCCGGCGGTGGGCGGCGCGTCTCCATAGTGGCCCGCGCGGTGTGAGCAGGCGCCTTGCCCGTCAGACTGGGAGCACCAGGGCCGAGGCATGTGCGAGGCCCCGTCGTGGTGAGCTCGCCGCCGCAGCCCTCCTCGCCGGTCAGACCACCCGCCCGCAGGACCTTCGCTCCCGTGGCGATGCCTGTTTCAGGTGCTCTAGCCGCTGCCCAGTCGGCCTCTCAACCCTCTCGGAACTTGCTCGGAGCCCCCTGGGGCCTTCGCGTAGGTACTTTGGCAGCTGCCCGCAGTCGGCCGGCTTCTCCGGCTACAGCGACGCGGACAAGCGAGAGTGGGCGGCGCGGTGTGGCGCTAATTGGGTGCGCCGTCCCCCGGGGGAGGAGGGGGGGGGTCTGGCGCGCACGCAGGACGCGTCCCCGACACGTCCACGGCACGCGTCCACAGGCGTGCCTCGAGCACGGCCACCACACCTCGCGGCCGGTCC